AATTCGAGAAGAATAATCGACTATGATTCATCGATTTCTTATGACTTAAAGCGGGGAGCACAGACTCTTGCATAATGCATAAGGCATAAGAAATTCAACCAATCAGAGTCCTTTATTTCATGGAAAAGAAGGAAACGAAGGACTTTGATTGGTTCAGTTTCTTATGCATTACGTATTATGCTTTATGCAAGAGTCTGTGCTCCCCGCTTAATGGCCGCAGCACAGACTTTTGCATAACGCATACTGCATAGTACATAAGGGAATCGACCAATCTAAATTCTTCTTTTTCATGTGGGAGGAAAGGAAAGATTCTGATTAGTTGATTCACTTATGCACTATGCGTTATGCAAGAGTCTGTGCTGCGACTTTAAGCATAAATGATCATTTAAGAGATATATTGCATTCGATGACATTAGGCGCGTTCAAGTTGACAAAGCGGCTAGCCTGCTCGCCAAGCAAATGAATATAATTGGTTGTTACTTATAGATCCAACCAATCATATTCAATCGCTCGGTAAGCATGCCTAGCCGCTTTGCCGTCTTGAACTCGCCCATTCATTTATCTATCTGTGTAATACGAACATTCCAGTGAGAAATAATACTTAGAACCGATGTCAATTCGACATTTATTTATAAAGAATCATGTCTGAAAATTGTGAAAAAAAATTCCCTCAATGACGTAACGTTATATATAGGCTCCCTGCAGCTGGGTATGAATTGTCACTAGCGCTCATGGTGGCCAAAGTAATAAGTTTTGTCGGGCCAAAAGAGAGGTAAAATCAAAGGATTCCATGTATCAACAGCTTATATTTGTTTCAAAGTATAATTACAAATTTAATAATGGCATCAATTATTATAATAAAATTGGGATTTCAAACTATTTCTGTACCCGAAATTCGTCCAGCAATTTTAAATAAGGGAAAACTACTGTAGAAAAGTGGCCATGTAGTTAACGTCGAAGAAATTCAATCTACAGAAAGTAGTTTCATTACAGGCTATATAATTAGACAAACTCTCTTCAATTATTATAATTTGACACCATACAAAGTAACACTTGATGTAAAGCAGGTATAATATATATTTCGTTGATATAAACATTGTGGTTATGTTATTGTTTTTTTACGTACAAAAATATTTACGTCGATAGTTTAATGGTCAAAGAATCGTGTCTGCTCAAAGTTGTGAATGCCCAATTGGTTCAGGAGAACAATGCAAGCATATTGCAGCTCTTGTATATTTTATAAATCACGAAATCGAAGAATCGAGAACAAATGAACCATGTAAATGGATGGCACCAAAGGTATCAAAGGCTGGACAACAAAAGAAAGAAAATTGAAGAACTTTTTCCAAGAAAACGTCTTGATGAAGAACTTCCAGTATGTAAAATCCCTACAATATCATTCTCTTATTCATTAAGTCGATTATTGCAAGCTCAACAAGTAACAGAGTCAAGAAGAATTGCAAACAGTATATTTCAAAATATTGTTGCGGATGCGTGGAAACAAATTAACAAAAAAATCGGTATGAACCTGTTTAAAAATTTTATTCAAAACCATTCTCAGTTTCCATTATATACTAGTGTCAACCTAAGTATTTAAGTTTACTACACCAAATATTCTTCGAAAATAATATTGACTTGAGTTTAAATAGACTTATGGAGATTTGTGTAAGTAACGCATGAGCAATCAGAAAGTGCAATTTGGCACGTCGAACGTGCCGTAAGAATATCAGCTAGCAGAGCACATGCTATAAAAACTCGTAGATCTGATTTTGATCAGTTAGCAGTGTCTCTGTTGAATGAGAAACCTTTGACTGGTAAAGCGCGAACAAATGTTTTATACGGTTCAAAAAATGAAAATAGTGCATGCGAATTGTATCAAAATATTGGAAATGTTTCGGTTGAACAATGTGGGCTAGTTATCCATCCTTCGCAACCTTGGCTGTGTGCTAGTCCAGATGGACTACTGATGGGCGATGGAAAGTCACTACGTGTCATAGAAATCAATGTCCAATTTCCTGCAAAAATAAGCCTATCATAGGTTCTGATAGGGAAATAAATGTTTCGTACATTCAAAAAACATCTGCAGGATTTCTGGAATAAAAAAAAACACATACTTATTACACTCAATGCCAAATATTAATATATTGTACTGGATTAGATACATGTGATTTTTTAATTTACAGCGACCACTCCGATTCATTACGTGACTCGTGATGAAGGTTTTTTTAAAACATTTATTCCTAAACTAGAACACTTTTATTTTGTTTATTATTTACCTAGATTAATACAAAAATATAATTTGTAAGTTGAAGTAATTTATAAAAATTAAACATAATAAAGTTTATTTATTGTTCATTATAATAGGTGATTGTAAATTCGCCATGACACAGCACATGTGAATTATGTCGTCGATATATGGTAGCAGCTCGGTTAACAATTTATGTAAAATATCATATGTTTTAACTCGTTGAATGCTGCGTTCTACATGAATTCTTACACTCGCTATGCTGTAAGTTTCTTCGATTTCGTCTTTCGTTAAGTGACCGTCGTGCAAAAATGGAGGGAGCACCATGATGGCATTGTTCTCTTCTAAACCAGTTTTAATCCCTGGGAAGCCTTTATCAGCTAATACTAAATCACCTGGTTCAATTAATTTCAAAAATCCACTGTCGTTTGTTATGAAAGTATCGCTAGCCTTTCCACCACAGCATTTTGATACAAAAATAATGGCTCCGCAAGGGGCAATGCCAATTAAAAATTTAATTGTATAGGCTGATTTATAAGAAGAATACATGTAAACTCTTTGGTCAATATTGGGAGGTTGTTCAGTTTTCACTTCAGTGCAATCAATTATTACTCTGCATGACGGATAATGAATTTTAAAAGCTGATGACATTGTCTCTGCAATGACTTCCCGAGATGGCTAAAATATGTAATTTTTGGTGCATGCTGCAAGTTTCAAAAGAACGTTTTGAAATATTCTAGATATTGTCGTGGGATGTAATTAAAAAATGACAGATAGAGCATCAAAACACATTCCTGTTTTCATTTTTATTAAAAATATTAAAAGTCGGTTTTCCTTACTGACTTTGCTCTTGCGAGTTGGTGGTAGCATTTGCAGAAATATATTAAATACTTCCTCCCTAACACCAGTCAATTTATTTAAATTGTTCATCGACATAATGCTTTCGTAACCGCAAAATCCTCTTTCGTTATATACATTATCAGGTCCGCATAATTTATCTGCTTTTGGAGCTTTATAAACATTTGATATGTCTACAATATTCAATTGTGTGCTAGCGTGACACTGATTTTCATTGATCCGCTCAAACGTGCAACTAAACTCGAAATAGTTTTTTAAACCGGTTTTAGTAACATCTGTAGCTTCTACATATTTATTACTTTTAATTACTGAAAAAGTCTCATGCTGATTGTTATTCGGAGAATGAACGTCATTAAGATTTAAACTTATAAAACTTGCAGCTGCATTGGTAGTCTTTGCACCGGTAATATTTGAGGGAGCAAACTGATTATTTGACTTCCTCTTATATCTTTTATACCTTTCTAAACTTTGGTTTTCAGATAGTTTTCGTTTCTTATATGCGGGTGGAAACACAGTTGGAATGTAGGCAGAGTTCGATGGATCTTGAGATTTCATGCCTCCGGCGAAATGTTCGCTACATATTTTGAAGTAACGCGATGGTTGCCACAGTGAATTTTCAGAACTAGAAAATTATATTATATGTTTTAAAAATATTTACTTAATATTAGTCTCAACTAATATTATTATATAAAAGTCTGATATTCAAAGTCGCGTTTAAAGATGCAAGCAATACTTATTTCTGTTCGAAAACGATAATAATAAGTTCCATTTGAGTTTAAAGATGCAATTAGAACTTATTTCTGTAAAAAATATTCTTAAGAAACGATTATGGATATTATCCTGATACGTGTTTTGAAGCAAAATGTTAACCTACAATTGAAATGTATTCTACTATCAACGAATTAAAATAATTATATAATTTTTATTTTTCTGATATAAATTTAGTATTTTACTGTGAATAACAACGTAATCTTAAACTTACTTCTTTCGATTCACAGCTACTATCCATTTGTTTCGAAGTTCTGTTTCGTGAGGTTTTGAGGGGAATGAATAAAATTTAATTTCGCTTGTATTTCTATAGCGATTGTTACACCCAACTAATACACAACATAAAATATTGCCCTTCCGTTGTTGGGTATTTTCCATGTCGGCAGAGTATTTAAAAATGTATTTTTATCGCCAGAATTGTACACTTCTAATTGCATATATGTAAATTCGCGTGTATTTGGCCCAATAAAACTTACAAAATCTCCGCTGGGGCGCCACGGTATTTTCTGCAGGGAGCCTATGAGGTCCAATTTCTTCGATGTGACAAAAATCAGGACCCCTCAATAGAATTATTACTTTTACATAATTCTTATCAAAATTAATGAAATTTATTATTGTATCATTTTTGTTATATAAATTAAAACATCTATCAGCTTCCCATTATATAAATAAATGTTATCAAAGGCAATTTTAAATAATCATTTACGCTTACTGTTTAGAAATAATTACTCGCTGGAATTTTTACTAATTCTCGTAGATAGTGGAAGGTAGAGAAAAACTTGTGTTTGTATTGAGAACGAGTTTGCGTAGTTCTTTATTTTCCTTTTGTCTCTTGGCACAACCGTTTTGTGCGCACGCATGCATATACGAGTAAAGGCGAATTACAATGGAGGGATATTCAAATAATAATTGATAGCAAATCAAGATAACTTAACATATACCCCCCACCTTGAAGGGTTTTACCCTTAAAGAAATTAACAATTAGGATTGAACATGTAAATTGCAAAGAAACGGTTGAGTAACTAAATGTAAAATTTAAGCATGAGGAATCTTAATAGCTAAATAGTACAAACAGAATAATGCAATGCAGCAAAAATGAATGTAACAATTGTAAATGTCGTGAATAAACTTAATCGCTATCCGAATCCAATGGCAGCGGACAAAGCTTGACTAGGGCTCGTTTTAAAAGGCCCCTTTCAGTTCTGATTGTTGTTACTCTTGCCACGTGATCAGTGCCTGGATGAAATTCAACAATTCTTCCCATTTTCCAATGTGCGGGTGGCATTTTGTCCTCCTTGATTAATACTAGAGTGTTGACCGGCAATGCTGGATAAGGACATTTCCATTTTAATCTTGTTTGTAATTCGGATATATACTCCTTGTGCCACCTGGTCCAGAAATGTTGCTGTATTTGTTGGATGAGTTGCCATCTTGACAGCCTAGATTCCTTAATTCCGTTCAAGGATGGATCTGCTATGGATGTATACTTTCGGCCGATTAATAAGTGAGCTGGTGTAAGGGGTATATAGTCGTTGGGATCATTTGATAAAGGGGTCAATGGACGGGAATTTAGAATTGCCTCAATTATTGCTACCAAAGTGTATATTTCTTCGAACGTTAAAGACGCATCGCTTGCGACCCTCCTCAAATGATGCTTTGTGCTAAGTACGCCAGCTTCCCAAAGGCCGCCCATGGGAGGTGAATAAACAGGTATGAAATGCCAGTGCACGCCCATTTCATCAGTCTTTAAATTCAAGGTTTCGAGCTCGTTATGTAAGAATTTTCCGAGTTCAAGCAACTCGTTGCTCGCGCCAACGAAAGTAGTTCCGTTGTCGGAATATAAATTCCGAGGTTTGCCCCGACGCGCAGTAAACCGCCTAATGGCTGCCAAAAATGAATCCGTGGACAGGTCCGACACTATCTCTAAGTGAAGCGCTTTTGTGGAGAGGCAAATAAATAAGCAAATGTAACATTTGGATGTCCGACCTCCGCGACCCTTCCTATCTCTAATGTGAAAGGGACCGGCATAGTCCACACCGGTGTTGTAAAACGTTGGCGAAGGCGAGGCTCGAGGAAGCGGTAGCGGACCCATTTGAGCCGTGGCTGCTCTGGGATTTGATTTAAAGCATGTAATGCAACTGCGAACTACCTTTTTTGCTAAGTTCCTTCCGCCAAGAGTCCAAAATCTTTCCCGCGTGTGAGATAAAAGAAGCTGAGGGCCTCCATGCAATAAATTTATATGCTCTTGCTCAAAGATGAGCAAGGCTAATCGATTCTTAGAGCTCAAGAGAATAGGGAATTTTTTGTCGATTTCAAAATCTGCGTTTCTTAAACGACCTCCTACGCGCAATATGGAATTTTCATCCAAGTAAGGATTTAATGCTACTAATCTCCCCTTTTTTACGTGCGTTCCAGATTTAATGCTACTGATTTCGAAGGGAAAGTCCATTTCTTGCGCTAATCTTATTAATTTTAATAGAGTTTGGTTGGCCTCCTCTCCATCGACACGAATATTTGGCCGCCGATTGCGTTTTAATACCCTAAAACAATAAGAAACTACTCTGAGCAGAGTAGATAATTTGGAGTAACGAGATACGATCTCTTCAACATAATGCTGTGTGTTCGTTTGAGTGTTAGCATGTAAAGCTGTAACGACATGATTGGAAACTTGATACTCGCCACAAGACCATTTGGATTCGTGGCTCTGTAAGAACTTAGGCCCCTGCCACCAAATTTCCATATTCATTAACTTCGATGGAGCTACGCCTCTAGACAGCAAATCTGCTGGGTTTTGATCGGTTGATATGTGTCTCCATTGTGCATCGAGATCCAGCTGTTGTACCTGTGATACTCGGTTAAGGGTGATTTACACGGTGCTGCTTTTATTCGCTTTGAGCAAACTTCTTAATTCGTCAGCGAATTCGCTGATGAAAATTTCTTCTAGACGCTCGTTTTTTATTCACTAGCGTCTAATATTTTGAAGAAATATTAGACGCTAGCGTACGATAGTCGCTGCAACTAGCGGTAATGAAGTTGAACCATGTTCAACTTTAACGCTCTCGTCAAGCGAATAGTTGAGCGAGTGAGAACGGCCATTCTCAAAAGTCATGGCACCACGAAAAGACGCTATAAAAGCTGCTGTTATACTTTGTACACGAGCATTGCAAGCTGAAATTCGCAATGCTATAATAAAACGGAAAAGAAAAAATAAACAAATTTGATTTGTATTTTAAGTTAATTTATAACGTATTGTTAATTTATTATTTATTTGTAAGATTGGAGGATTGTAAAAAAAGAGTGCGATGAAATCTCCGTCGTTTTTAAATATGGACCACATGTCATTGATACAACTGATTTCTGTACTGGACGTTATATTTTAGCTAAATCTTCCGATAACTTTATAATTTTGTTTATTTTGCATTGAAAATGACCCGATCGGGGTCGAAACGTTCGTTTGCATGTATACATGTATGTAAGAAATTTTATTAAATATTCTTTGTTATAACTGGCTCATAGCCCATTTTTTTCACTACGATTTTCTCTCAAAATTATCATATAAGAAAATTGAACTTACGTCGAAATTCATTTTCACACATCTTCAGATTCCTTTTTTCGAGATCGCTTAACATCATTGTTACTTGTCCATCTCGCATGGGTTTGTTTGAGTATTCTTTCAGTTTGATATTCCAAACAATTGGATAACGTTCCAAAACTTCGAGGAATATGCATATTTCATTATTCTTTAGTCTTACAAGTTTTGGAGACATTCCGCACGTAACAGATAAAAGAAAATTCCGCACAAAAATAGCACAACTTTAACAATATTGTAAATACTAGAGAATAATTCGGCATACTCTGTACGTACAATATGGCCACTTTTGTCAGCTGAGTGTCTTGCTCATGCGTAGTATGTCGAATTATTCGCCAATCGCCCGCTAATTCAATCGCTACCGTCTTTACATGGAGCGTTTTTAGACGCTACTGCTAAAATCGCTTGACGAAAGCGTTAAAATTGGACATGTTCAACTTTGATGCAGCGACTATTAAACGCTGCAACTTAAACATTTTGAATAAAAAAGGAGCTTCTAGAAGAAATTTTCATCAGCGAATTCGCTGACGAATTAAGAAGTTTGCTCAAAGCGAATAAAAGCAGCACCGTGTAAATCACCCTTCGTGGTAACAAATGAATCAGCAGGCGACTGGCGAATAATTCGGCAAATTGCGCTTACGTGAGTGGCTGTTTCCACTAAACTGTCTCCAAAACGTTAGCGACTTTTAATGGTTAGCAGCATCGTGTAAATGGTTTAACGTTGACGACTTTATCAGCCAGAAATTCGCTCTAGGAGGAGCGAAAATCTGGCGATCAAAGAAGCCAGCGTTAAGCGTCAGAAGTAACACCGTGTAAATCGCCCTTTAGCGACAAATACCGGCTGGGTATGTGGTTGCCCTTGAATCCAATTCAACACAATGGTAGAATCTGTCCATAAGAAAATTTGATCGATTTTGCAGCTCAAGGCTCTACTGACCTTTGAAACTAGTCGAGCGACAGTTAACGCCCCGCACAATTCGAGCCGAGGTATGGTTTCTGTCTTTAAGGGAGCAACTCTCGACTTGGCGCATAGCAATGAAACATGAACCGATCCCGTTGGATTTTGCGATCTCAAATAAACACATCCCCCGTACGCATCTTTCGATGCATCGGAAAACCCGTGTACCTGAATTCTCACAGGATTGCTACAAATAGAATGTCTAGGAATTGTAATATTGTTCAGGCACGCCAACTGATCGCGTGATATTCAAGCCATTGGGAATGAATGCCCGATGGCAGGGACTCATCCCATTCGGTTTTTGCCAACCACAGCTTTTGCAGAATGATTTTAGCCAGAATTATGCAAGAAGCCAACACACCTAGAGGATCGTATATTTGAGAAGTTTCCGAAAGGATGCCTCGTTTTGTGACTTTGAACTGCTTAGAAAGGTTTATCGAAAACGTAAGATGATCGCTATCTATCCGCCCATGCAATCCTAGCGTTTTGTGCGTATTGTTTTCACCCAGCGGGATTATAGACAATTTGTCTTCCTTGCCTAGAACATTTGATATGATTGAAGGTTCGTTAGAAGCCCATTTTGCTAATGGCAGGCAACCTGAAAGTAACACGTCGCGCAAATTTTGAATGACTGCCTTTGCTTCTTCAATTTCATTGAAACCAGTCAGCAAATCATCGACGTAAAAATCAGAACGAATGATCCTGGCGACGCCAGGCAGGGATTGTTCACACTCATTTGCGAGTTGTATGAGCGACCGAATGGCCAAGTAAGATGCCGACGATGTGCCGTAAGTTAACGTGTTCAGTTCGTAAATCTTTATCTCCTCTCTTGGGTCTGTTCACCAAAGTATGCGCTGCAATGGACGATCGTTAGGGGAAACAAGTATCTGACGATACATTTTCTGTAGATCAGCGCATACAACATACGGGTATTGTCTAAAGCGGATGAGTATGGAGAAGAGCTCCTCTTGCACGACCGGACCTACGTATTGACAGTCATTCAACGATAATCCGCTGTCTGATCTCGATGAACCGTCAAAGACCACGCGCAGTTTGGTTGATGCACTGGCTGGCCGAGGTACACCGTGGTGCGGCATGTAAAACGTAGGGTGATAATGCGATGTTTCCTGAATATTGGTCATGTGACCAAGTTCCTCGTATTCCCGCATGAACGCGCAATAGTTTGCCTTAAAGGTTTTGTCCTTTAGAAACCGTTTTTCTAATGAAATTAATCGCCGTATTGCGACGCTTCGCGATTCTCCGAGTTGTTTTGGATCTATTTTTAATGGAATTGATACTATAAAACGCCCGTTTATGTTCCGCATGTGAGTTTGAATAAAGTGTTGCTCGCAACTGGTTTCTTCTTGGCTTGTATGCACCTTGTCGTCGATCGCTTCAAGTTCCCAAAATTTTCTTAATTGCGTGTCAATGGTTCTGGACAATTTAACATTGCTTAAATTGCATTTTATCGACTTAGGAACTTGAGAGAAGGTGGGGCCGCCCACTATCCAACCTAATTTGGTTTTTTGTAAAACTAAACCTTGTTTATTGATTTCAATTTGCCCTATGCATAACAACCTCCAAAACCATTCGCCACCGATCAGAATATCGACCCTGTTGGGTATGTGAAACGAGGGGTCTGCTAAAGGTAAATGTTTCGGAAATTTTAAATGCTGCAATTCAATGTGTTCAGCCGGCATTTGCTGTGCTATTTCATCTAATACTAGACAATTTATCTGAAATTCGAAATCGCGGCGCAAGGAAGACAAGGTCACGGAGCACGTATGTTTAATTATGGATCCCTTGCAGTTTAGAGTGTCTAAGTAATGATTTGCAGGAGTTTTCTTTAGACCCAGCTCGTCACACAGTTTGATATGAAACTCGATTGCGAACAAGAATTAAGCGTTGCTCTTACTTGCGCAGATCCACTGGGTCCTTTGTACATTACTAGAGCTGTAGCTAAGACGATATTGACATTATTACGAGATGACGCACACATAGATTTAGTAGCCATGCCCGAATCGGTATTTTCAATTTTGTTAAAGTGCAGCAATGTGTCATGTTTCGCGTTGCATTTTTTGCAGGAGCCTGAAGAACAATCTTTAATCGCGTGTCCCTTTCTTAGACAGTTGAGACAGATCTTGGCAGATTTAGCCTTATTGGATCTTTCTAAAGGTGTAAGTTCGAGAAAGGTGTTGCAGTTCTGTATGTAATGCTCTCCCTTACATATTGCGCATTCGGCCTTTTGAGAGTGAAAAGATTTGGACTTGCCCGTCGCAACCTTTGCAATTTTAATGTCTTTACTATCCGATTTAGATTGCGATTCTGTATTTTTTACAATTTGAGCGCGATCCCTTAAAAAGCTAGTCAAATCGGGAAGGCTGTGATTTTAAAGTTAGTTTGTGTTTTTCCCATTCATTTGAAGTATTTCTATCTAGCTTAGTGTGAATATGATAAATGACTAAAGAATCCCAATGCTCTGTGGGCTCATTCAGAATCTTTAACGCGCGTAAGTGCTTCGTGACTTCGTCAACGATAGATAAAAGTTTTGCGGATGATTCTTTTGCGATTGGTTGTATATTATACAATGCCTTCACGTGATTGTGGACTAACTGTTTGTGATTGTCATACCTTTCTCGTAGCGCATTCTATGTTATTGCGTAGTTTGTGTCAGAAAGCTCGATAGACCCTATAACCTCCTCGGCCTCGCCCACCACTGATGCCTTTAAATAGTGGAATTTCTGTACGTCTCCAATTGAACGGTTATCGTGTATCAGAGATTTGAAGGTATCACGGAATCCTAACCAGGACTCAAATTCACCGTTGAACTTTGGCAGCGCAATAGTAGGCAACTTTACGCCGAGAGGCTTGGGCGAGACAACGGAAGCCTGAAACCGTGAAATCATACCTGTATCGTTATGTTGCGATTGAATATTTTGATTTACAGGTTCCCTTGCTTGTCCGCGTGTTAATATTTCTTGTGCATGAGCCATAACTGCGAAAAATTCATTTTCGAATTCCTCACGGTTTTTTAATTCCTCTACATCGTCTTCGCCTTTGCCTTCTTCTTCGATGGCATCCTGAGCTTCATAAAATTCGTTAATTACGCTATTTGCTTTGAGTACGCGGCCTTCTATTTCTAGCTGAAGTAACGGAAGAATAGGCTGAGATATTTCATAATTTTCGGGAAGCCGTGTAGGCAGTGTGTTTACTAAAAAGTTTTTTAACATCGTGAGGCATTCTTAAATGACCTCTTTTTCGCTGCAAGGTTGACATTGTTAATCAAAGTTAGTAAATTGTGAGGTTAAAGCGATCTAACCTTAAATAATTAGACAGCTGGAATGAGCGATGTATTATGCGTTTCAGTCAAATTGATGCAATTCTTTGTTTTGATTGGAAATGGATAGGGGATAGCTCACTTATCTTTGGTGTTACTGCTACAATCAGAACTACTCGTGCCTCTCCTCTTTTGTGACGAAGGTTGGCGTGACCTTTGCATAGGCCTCTGTTCCTTGTCCTTGACGTGACTCGTTGGTCGAGCTAAATATTTGAATGGGTCTTGCAAGCTGTTCTTGCTTTCAGCTTGTTGTCTACGGTTTGCTTCGAACGATCAGGAATGGTTGCTGATCTCACGAACGTTGCTATGAGGCGTCGTTCGCCTCGTGGCCTTGTGATAGCCTCGATGATACTTCGTTCTCGACCTCGCCGAGGGATTGCTACTTTCCTCTACGATCCGGCTCGAAGGACCAATTTTATGTTTAGAAATAATTACTCGCTGGAATTTTTACTAATTCTCGTAGATAGTGGAAGGTAGAGAAAAACTTGTGTTTGTATTGAGAACGAGTTTGCGTAGTTCTTTATTTTCCTTTTGTCTCTTGGCACAACCGTTTTGTGCGCACGCATGCATATACGAGTAAAGGCGAATTACAATGGAGGGATATTCAAATAATAATAGATAGCAAATCAAGATAACTTAACACTTACAGGTTAATATTCAAACAGATAATGATGTAGGAAATACGAATACTATGACATTTTAATTTTAATATCTGTGCAATACGAACATTGTATCTGAAAATATAATATATGTCAAAATAAATCATAAATACGGAAGCAAAAGATTAATTACAAAATTTCCCTCAAAGATGTAATGTTATATATGGGGTCCAATTTCTTTGATGTACCGATAAAAATCAGGACCAGCCAGTAAAAACTATCAATATTAGATGATTTTTTTTATCAATATTTGTGAAAACTACGGGTAATATCATTTTCATTATGTACATTGAAGCTTACCAGCACCTCATGAACTAATCAAATGTAATCGAAGGCAATGCATTAAATGATTTACGTTTGGAATCTAGGATTTACAAATGTAATAAAATAATGAACATATGAAACTTATGTTATTTGGATTTCAATATCTGTGTAATACGATCATAATACGATGACTAAAAATATTATATATGTCAGAATACATCATCAATACAAAAGGAAGAATAAAATTAAAAAATTTCCTTCAATAACGTAATATTACATATGAGGTCCAATTTGTTTGACATAATGACAAAAATCAGGGTTAGCCAGTAAAACTACTATTCCAGATGATTTTTTTCAAAATTCGTGAAATTTATGAGCGCATCGTTTTAATTACGTTCATTAAAGCATTTGTCAGCTTTCCATAATTTAATTAAATATTATCGAAAAAACAACGTATTAAAATGATTTAATTAGCTCAGGAGAATTTGATAAATGCTTCAATTTACAGAGTAAAATGATATTCTAATAGAATTCTATAATTTTGATAAAAATCATCCAAAAGCAATAGTTTTATCAACGCGGTTCTGATTTGTGTCATTATACCAAAGAAATTGGACCCGATATGTGATATTACATTGCTGAGAAATTTTTTACAATTAATTTCTTGCTCCGGCAAGATCAAAAGATGTATTTTGATATATACATTTAAACGTAGTATTCGTATCCCAGATATTGAAAACATGACATCATAATATTTATTTATTTACTCTGTTATTATACCATATTTGTGAATCTAAGCTTACAAGTGTTAATGATCATATAAAACGTTGTGTTTGACAGTATTTAATTAAGTTATCAGAAGTTGATAGATACTTGAATCTACGTAGTGAAAATGATATATCAATAAAATTCACTAATTTTGAAACAAAATCATCTAAAAGTAATTTTACTGGCTGATTCTGATTTTTGTCATTACATAAAAAACATTGGACCCCATATGTAACATTACACCGTTGAGGGAATCTTTTAAATTAATTTCTTGCTTCCCCGTATTTATGATGTGTTCTGATATATTGTATTTTCAGTCATAATCGTATTACACAGATAATGAAATATAATAAGCTTCATATGTTTATTATTTCATTACCTTTTTGAGTCCTAAATTCCAAACATAAATGATCATTTAATACATTATCTTCAATATTTAAATATGTCATGACGAGCTTTCTAATACTTTAATGTATATAATGAAAACAATAAGTCCTGAAATTTCACAAATTTTGATTAAAATCATCAAAATCCAAAGTAATAGTTTTATTGACAGGTTCTGATTTTTGTCATTATATCACAGAAATTGGACTCCATATGTATGGAGTTGTATGTATATGTAATGACGTTATGTCGTTGAGGAAAATTTTTTAATTAATTTTTTGCTCTCGTATTTAACGTATATTCTGACGTATTTTGCATTTTAGATATTTTCAAATATAGTGCTCGTATTGCACAGATATTGAAGTTAGAATTACATGATATCATATCCCCTACAACAACAATGCTGCAACATTGCAGCAATATTGCAGCAATATTGCAGGTTGCAGCAATTTTGCAGCGTTATTGCAGCAATATTGCTACAAATTCTGTGCTATAGAGGATGTTTCCTACTTCTTTATATTTTTTAATCATAATCTGTAAAGGTAAATAATCAAAGATTGCTTTCGATAATACTTATATTATATATCTTATGAGAATCTGATGTATGCTTTAATTGACATAGTAATAACATGCCGATAAATTTTGTTAATTTTGATAAAAATCGTGTAAAAGTAAAACAGTTTTACTGGTTGGTCCCGATTTTTCTCATTATATTGAAGGAATTGGACCCAATATATGACGTTACATAGAATTTGTATGGTCTCATTAAGTTACAATACATAAAAAACTTCCTTTTTTCGATGTAATGTTTAATATAATGTATATAAACCACAATTAATTACGAAATGTTATGTATATAATTACCATGAATTTATGTATATTGCATTTTACGATATGTATATCATGCATAAGCTGTTTTCAATCCATTTTTTAATGGTACCCATAAATAACAAAGCGTAAAAAAGTACTAAATTTTGATATATCTTCATTTACGGTTTATACATATAAAAAAAAATTACAAAATACTAATTGAAATGTTAATGTATATCAATGTATACTTATGTATACCTTACGTATAATTGGTCCCAGTATGTGCCAACC